TAGAGGAGAAAATTACTTTCCAAAAGTCAGTGAGCCTCTATTTAGAGGAGCAATTTACTTTTCCAAAGTCGTTAAGCCTCTGATTAAATGAGCTTTTTTTATTTTTCAAAAGTCGTTGAGCCTCTGCTTAGAGGAGCTTTAATTAAAATTTTAACAAAAAAAAAAAGACAACAAAAAAAGTAAAAAAAAAAAAAAACGAAAAAAGGGTCAAGTAGAGTCTTGAATGGGTGTCTACGTCTTTGCGTAATTCTTGTTTCACAGAAAATGTGCAGAGAGGGGTAGCTGTAGACATCAAATTTGATCCAGGCCCGGATTAATTGGGCATGATCCAAATGGATAAGCCCATTTGCAGTTTTATTTTTATTTTTATTTATTTATTTATTAATACATATATTTTATTATTTATCTATTAATTTTTTTATTTTTCTATTAATATTTTTTATTTAGCTATTAATATATATATTTTTATCTATTATTATTACTATTATTATTATTATTTTGACTTTATCTTTTTCTTGATTGATTTTCGACTGAGATTAGGATAAAAAAATTAAAATTTTACTGTGAATTTGAGATTCAATCAGAGTCTGGATTGGATTCAAAGATTGAATCCCAATCCAAGATGAAATTAGGATGGATCAGAAATTCTTCTAATCAATTCCTATAAATAGATCCATAAATCACACTGAAAATATAGAGAAGAGAATAGAAAGAAAATAGAAGCAAAAAAAATTCGAAGGGGGCTCTAAAATTTTTAAAAAATTTTTGGAGATTTTTGCATTTTTTTTTGTAAAATTTTTAAAAATTTTCCAGATTACAGTGAATTTTTTGGCTAAACTTGAATTTTTTGACGAAGTTTTCGGCCAACTTTGAAGTTTTCGACGTGTTTTTCCAGAATCTAGTAGAACATTCAATTGAAAATCTAGAATTGTTTAGAGAGAAGTAGGAGAAAAGAAGGGAAGAGAGAGAAAAAAAGGGAAAATCTGAAGAAAGATCGAGTTTCAGCCTTATATACCATCTCCAACACGACGTCGTTTTTAAGTTAGTAAACCCAGAGGATTTACATGTTTTGTCAAGATTCGACCTGACCCGTAACGCATCCGAACTAGCGACCTATTTCTCCGCCTAGGTTCTAATCGAGTTGAGCCGAGCCGTTTCCTGCTGAGCCACACATTTGAGCCAATTCTGTCTCTCAAGCCGAACCGAGACGTACCAAGATTTTTTTTAATTAATTAATTAATTAATTATTATTATAATAATTATTATTATTATTTAGAATTATTTGGTATTCCTTATTATTTTATTTTATTTTTTATTTCTTATTGTTTAATGATTTTTTCTAAAATAAAATAAAAAAAATTTTGAAGGAAAAGTTGAAAGTATCAATTTTCCTTAAAAAAAAAAATTTCTAAAATAAAAATTTTCAAAAGTATTTAGAAAAAAGTTGAAAGTATTAATTTTTCTTAAAGATAAAAAGATTTAAAAAATATATTTTTAGGAAAAGTTGAAAGTATCAATTTTTCCTTAAAATTAAATTAAAAAAAAAAGCATTTTGAGAAAAAGTTGAAAGTATCAATTTTCTTTAAAAATAATAAAAAAAATATTTTAAGGAAAAGTTGAAAGTATCAATTTTACTTAAAATAAAAACTCTCAAATGCTTTAAAAAAAAGTTGAAAGTATCAATTTTTCTTATGCAAAAGTAATGAGTTTTTTTAAAGATGAAAAGAAAAGGATTTATATCTAAAGTTGAATTTTTATTTCTTTTCCTTTTCTTTCTTGAAAAATTTTTAATATTAAATAATCCGACGACGGAGTTTTTGTAAGTAAAACAGTAGTTTTTTTTATACTCTTAAGATGATGAGATTTTCTTAGTTTTCTACCAAAGTATTGGAGTTATTTAAGAATAATTTTTAATAATTAATTATTTGATAAAAATTTTAAGGCTTATTGGATAACACAAAATTAAGCTGGTACCATCTTTCGATGGACGTTGTGAGGGTGTTATAATCTTCTTCACACGTAATTGTACTCTCGAACTTTGTTCTGATTAATTGACCTGAACCTATTCTTTTAGAGACCCTTAGTCAAGCTTAGATGTTTCTTGAAATGATAGATTCTCTAAGTGACCAATCGCACTTAAACAAAAAAAATTGATGACAACTCTTAAAGCTAATGTCTAACGATAAATCCCTAGATCTAGACGTTATGACAACATGAATTGTAACTCATTAGTTTAACGGTTAATTCCAAGCCTATTTTATGAGTGAAGATGACCTCTTTCTCATGCTAGAGAAATGGGAAGTTGCCAAATCTATTTAATTTTATATATGCAAGTATTCAAACTGACGACATCCAATGATATCACCAGGAATTTGACATGGAAAAACTATAAAAATGGATCACTTTCATTCTCTGTCTCTGTCTCTCTCTTTTATTTAGTTTCTCTTCAATTTTTATATATGTTTGCAGTTAATTTCCATTTGTTTTAGAAGAAGATCTGCTGGCTGGGTTGGGTCTTCAATATTATCCTTGACTGCAAGTTGCAACATGCCTAGCTGACACAAGACCGTTTCATAAATTATGTATAGATCCATTCTCTCGAAAGATTTTGTACATATATATATATATATATATATTAATCCAAGAGCTGGCTTTCCTTCTTTATTGCTTGTAATTTCTTCCAAGTTTTCCTTCTCTCTGGCTTTCCAAGAAGTAACAAACCATGCATGCAACAAAGTCAATTAGAAACATTTAGAAGCTAGCTAGCTCCAATAGGCATGCATAATGTGCTTGAGCTGTTTCTAACCTTGACAACAGGCAACCATACACATTCGAAACTAGGACAATATTGATTGACTAAACATGGCTTGGCAATAAAATTTCAATAAACAAAACAACAACAAACAACTAACAGACTGTTATAAAAGATTTTAAATGGTTCATTTTAAGTTAAGTGACCCAGCTATTACATATTTAAGATTTAATAGGTCCATTTTTCGATTTATGTATGTCGAAACAAGAGATTATATGCAAAAATTCATAATGAAAAGAAGGGAAAAATATGCATAGTAACTATATTTTTTATACTCAAAGCTGTAAGCTGTAATTTCAATAAACTGAAAATGTTAATGCTTGTTAAAAATTAACACTAATTAGTATGATTATTTGTGACATCTTCACTCATTCATTTGTTTTCTTTGTGAAAATGTGTATACATTTTTTTTTGTTATGATTAGAGTCCGAATTTGAAACTCGTAAGTGTTGCTCTAGTATTACCAAACTAACAGCTCATGCATTTTTTTTATTATTAAGCTCATAAATCAAAATTTGTCAACCTTAAGTTATTTGCCAAATCAATAAATTAAAGAAGCATACTGGTGTTTTAGGTTTGGTAAGAAATTGTTGGTTTGATATAATGCCAAAAGAAAAAGAAGGATTCCATTTTCCCCTTTTTGCTTTGTTGGTCTCACGTTGTTTGCTTTGTGAATTAGGCGCTTAACGGTTGCCTTTTATGTGAAAATACAGCTTTAGCTTAACAATTGCTATATACGTTCATGGAGGAAAAAAAAAGAAAAAAAAAGAAAAAGCTTGGTATCTGTATTCTTCTTAGAAACCAAATGAAGAATAAAGTTATGCCTTGCACTGTATCTGTCAAAACTGAAAAGATTGAATTAAATTAAAAAAAAAAAACTCAGCAGATAATTAATTATGAACAAATACAGTTCTCACTTACTTGGCCAAATGGAGGGACATGCCCTAGCCCTAGGGCCAGTCCTTTCTTCGGGTGCAAGTATGCCGTTCTCAAACTTAATTTGTAACTAAATAAAAATCAGAAGCAATAATGACAGTACTCTTGTTTGAATTGTTTTATATTTTCATGACGGATTCTTCCATGCCAAATGCCCCTACCCATTCTCTTTCGAAACTTCTCATAATTTTTTCTCTCATTAAATCAAAGCAAATATGTTGGATTAAAAACCTAATGATAACATAAAACCCACATGCATGTTCTAATGTCTCTCCCCCCCCTTTCTTTTTCATTCTTTCCTTTATATTTTTTAAAGCACTCAAATCATGGGTTCTTTTCTTTAGTTATATATATCTATATGTCTTCAAACCACTTTAATCCATATCAACAAGGCTTCAACTTTACTCTTATTCATCTTTTGGAGGAATAAATCAAACAATTAATCAATTTCTAAGGGCATTTTGTTTTTCTGCGTGGGGAACTAGGGGAGGAAGATGGGAGAGGGACTCTTGAATCTTGAACCAAAACCATTAAAAAAAATTCATGGGGCTTGGGTATTAATTTCAATGTTGCTTCTTAACTACAACCACATGGCTTTTTTTTTTTTTTTTTTGTATTAGAGGATGTAACAAGTAGACCCGCTCCAGCTCTAATTAAAATAGTCACACTACTTTATTGTTTAGTTAATTATTTTAATTTTAATATCTCCATATGGTCAATATATTCAATAATAATGGGGTAATTTTTTTTTTTTTAAAGGTAAAGTTTTTCTTCTTCACATGTGCCTTGCTTTTAATCATAGGGGTGTTGGAAGCAGCAGCAGCTGGTGGGTCTATAGGCTAAATTTATTTTGTGGGGTCAAAATTCACCATTATAATCATCCCACTGCCCACTATTATTTACTTTAGTAAAAAAGAAAAAAAATCTGCCGTCAAATTTCATCCCTACCCATGTTACCAACATCATATCTTTCCAGATCCTTTGTTTTCACTGTCCCCAAGCCTTTTCTAAAATCTTACCAGGGGCCATTTTTAACTAACTTTCTACACTTCAAAAGAGTGATGAATAAACAAGCAGTTGTCCATTAAAAAGTTATTTCCATTAGTTCTTTTTTTCACTTTTAATTAAACCTTATTATAATATATTAAATTAATATTCATAATCACAAAAGCGAATTAAAAGCATCCATGATCATGTCACAACAAGTGCTGGTATTCAGACCAGGTCCGATACTCCAACTTATTTTTCTAACTTATTTTTTGAATTTTTAATATTTCTTGTGAACTGGCAAAAGAGAGAAAGAAAACAAAGCTTGTAAGTTTTTCCCTGCATCTCTCTTCTGTTTCGTTTCCTTTCTTATTGCAGATTATATAAGGTGAGAGATAGAGAGATTCATATTTAATACACTTATGGACATGTCAGATAACCTGAATTTCTTTGCTGTTGCCTGTCTTCCTGTTATTTCCATAACGTAAATTTCTTTCGAAAAATTGAATTCGGGGAGAGACAGTTCAGAAGCACCAACCTTGTCCAGTTTCCTAACATATTCATATTTTTTTTTACTTAGACAAACCAAAGAGAAAGACCCATCTCTCCATACCTTTAGATCTCTCTCTCTCTCTCTCTTGAACTCCTAAGGAGAAACCAGTTCGCTGATTTCAATATACCAATCTTTAATATTGTTGTTTAGCCACAATGAGAGACATTGTTTCTTGTTTTAGTGAAAACGCAGTAAATGTTTCTCATTCTTCATGTTCTAGCTATTCAAGCAATGTTTGTATCTCTCCAAGCCTAGAGACTTCAGTCCAGAATGCAGTCACAGGTATTTACAAAGTTATTCTTTCCAACGAGAAGCAGTTCTTGATCAGAGTCACTTGGTGCAAGAATCAAACTGGTCAAGGCCTAAGCATAAACTTTGGTGATGACCCTTCAACATGTTTCAAGGTCAACACGAATTTGAGGTTTTTCAGGAAGAAGAAAGGCAGCAAAGTGATTGAATCTGGTCATTCCAAGATCGAAGTATTTTGGGATCTTTCTACTGCCAAGTATGATGCAGGACCTGAACCGGTTGACGGATTCTATATCCTGGTTATGGTTGATTCAGAGATAGGCCTTATTCTAGGTGATATGGCTGAAGAAACTGTCACCAAGAAGCTCAAGACTACCACCCCAGCTGCTAAAGTCTCTCTTATTTCTAGGCAAGAACATTGTTCAGGCAATACACTTTATTCCACCAAAGTTCAATTCTGTGATACAGGCATTGTACATGATATTTTGATCAGATGTAGTGGAGAACATGATGACCTAAAGCATCCGGTTTTATCAGTTTGTATTGATAAGAAGACAGTGATTCGGGTAAAGAGGCTGCAGTGGAATTTTAGAGGAAACCAGACAATATTTGTTGATGGATTGCTAGTTGATCTGATGTGGGATGTGCATGACTGGTTCTTCAATCCTGCCAGTGGTTCTGCTGTGTTCATGTTCAAGACAAGAAGTGGTTTGGATAGCCGGCTTTGGTTGGAGGAGAAGTTGGTGCAGAAAGATCAAGACAGAGTTGAATTCTCGTTGTTGATTTATGCCTGTAAGAGCACATAAAGAAACTGACTTTGTTCATGTTTGTTTATTTGTTTTAATTTTTCAATTTTTTTTCCAATTTTCTTTTTTTCATACTTAATTTTTTGATCATATGAGAAAAGAAAATAAAATGGGCTGCAAAATTTTTAGTCTTTTGAGTTACTGAGTTACGGAACTGAGAGTTGTAGATGTTATTAAAAGTTGGTGTCCAAATTTTGTCTGTATTCTTATCTGCTTCCTCTAGACTCGGAATGGTAATAAAAAATTTCCAAATCAATTATAGGACATGTAATCTTAATAATTTCTGTTAAAATGTGAATTTAGGACATTGTTGTGAGGCTCAAATAATTGAAAAGGTAGTAAATGAAAGGACAGCCCAAACAAGGGTATCAATGAAGATTTGCTGAAGAGCATTTGGATACATTGAAAGGTATCAAGGAAGATTGCTTTTGGCCTTAAAAGGACAAAATAAAGTTGGGAATCTCCTGATAATGATCAGTAACAATTTGACCATATAGAGTATTTCCATTTACATAATGTAATTGTATAATTTTCTGGTTTGTTAGGCATATAGTAAGCTCTATTACCTTTATTCTCAAGATGATGTATCATTTCTGCTTTCTTTGGTTGTTTTCCAAGGCCAAAAATTAACAAAGTCTCTTCATCTTCTTGCACAGCAATTAATTAACCACATTCTGTTTTCTTTCCTTCCATGTTACTTTCTTTTCACTGTAAAATTGTTTTATAACCCAATTGTGGATGGTTATGAAAACAACTGTGATCATGCGCATGCTTTGCTCCATCAAGCATTAAGTCAAGTTTGAACTTGGCATGTTGGATACCTTCTATCATCAAAGGATAGTAGTCCATTACGTCCTAGGACCCCCTTAGCCTCTTTTTAGCAATAACCATGGTCCCTTTGGTCATTTGGAATTAATATTTGGTCCATAAGCAAGAAGCAAAAGTTTCCGAAGGACCTTGGGTTCAGTTTAACTAGAAATGGCACTAAAATTTTTGGCATCGAGTGCTGCTAGTCAGGCTCTTCACTGGACCATCAGAAGCTAAGGAAGTAAATGGTATCCTTTGGCTCCACCCCTTCCCCGTGAAACTTAAATGAATACAACTAAGAAATGCTCATATATCCTTTGGCATTATTTAAGACAGCAGCAAAAGTTTGAATGATCTTGCAGAATGTGTGACGGTAAAAATAGTAGGTGATTTGGTGTAAGTTCACCAGCCTTCTGTTGTTTCCATTTAATTTCTTTTTCTAGTTTTACTTTTTCATCATTTACAAATATCATTGAATTTTAGCTTGAGAAAAACCGTGTCCTTTACTAACAGGACAGATCTGTTAGTGGACCATCTCATACATAGATTTTGAATTTAAGACAGTTCATAATTCTGGTATCATGGATATATCTCTACTCTAGTACTAACATTAATGTTCTGTATTAACTCGGAATTAGAAAGATAAAGCAAAACTTGGTAACTTAATCTGTTGTATGGACATTCGTTATAATCGTTAACTCTCAAAAGACAAGTTCTTTCAAAAGCAGGCAAACTTAAATTGCTGTGGCCTGCACCATGATCAATGTTCCAATATAAAGATAAACTTGCTTTATGTTACAAAAAAGAGAATTTTGGGGGGTGGGGGGAGTTTTTAAACAGCCAACCATAAAACTGCAGAGGGTGAAAAGATAGGTCGATTATTGGGGTTGTGCTTATTCCTCGAGGCTCACATTCTTTTGTCATTGTTATGAAAATATGAATGGTGATTATTACTACTAGTATTCCTTTTAATTGGAGGAACTTTGAAGTTTTACTCAAACTGATGCCTTAGTTAGGAATCTTTTATATCAATCTTATTGTTGTAGTTGTTGAGAATAAATGATTAGATGTAAGTCAATGAAATAAATATGTAAACCAAATGGGATGACCAAGTTTTTCTCTCAATATTATACCATCTTTTGACATCTGAAATTCCTATGTAATCATGGTGGAACTTGAACTTCTGCCCCATTAATTCCATGGAGTAGACTTGGTGTATTGGAGATGATGATGGCTGGGCTTGGATTTTGATCATCTTGGCATGCACTTTGGTTAGAATTTAGAGAAAAAAGGAAAAAAGAAAAAAAAAAAGCTTTGCTCTTCCACCACAAATTCTTGGCTCCAATGTGTTGACAGATTATTCCACCTATCCTTCACCAGTTTTGCAAAATTTCTGTTCCAGGACCACGGCTCATAATTCCTGTTGCATTTTCCTTGTGACTTTCATTTCTTTTGGACACTCTCAAATAGATAAAAACCACACGAAAAAGACAATTTTGCTTTCTGAACAAGGTAACGTGTTTGGTTATCATGATTGGTTTTTGTACTTTGAATTATTTCCCATTTTTGTCTGAAACTAACTTACCTCTCCAAGTTAATTACTTTTACTTTAGCTGCCATTATTTCATTTTTACCTATTTTTGGGCTTTAAAATTAACATTGTATAAGAACATATTATACCATATTTTATGTGAACTTTCAATTTTATACTCTTAAATAAGGATAAAAGCATCTATCATCAGATCAAATCTTCGGATGAAATTATTTATACCATATAAAATATTAAAAAATAAATCTATCTTCATCAAACAGTAACACCACTTTGGACACAGCCCCTTTGCCTAATCAATAACCATCTAATTTGGTGAATAATAAAATCACCATCAACATCGTCGTTGGTCTTTGTAGTAAAGTAATTTTTTTTTCCTCCATAAAAAAGAATATGAAATTTGGACTCACTTGGCATACGTTTTGAAAGTGGTCTTGTAATTTAAAATTTTTTTAAAAAAATTGGTCCGGCCTTTAGGTCAATCTTTTCATCTTCTTCATTTGTGCCTCAATTTATTTCGCTTTGCCAATCATATTTACCAACCAAAATGTTTTAATTCTTCGACTGCATTCACATCGGTTTGTTACATCTCCAACACATGGCCCATCAAGTCCATTCTTAGTAGTGGGAGTTCACCAACTCCTTCAAATTGGCAACAAAAAGACAAATAATAATAATAATAATAATAAAGAATTAGTCTCTAGTTTGACAATAAGCAAGATGAAAATAGCTTTAGGCTATTTTTGTTTGTCAATTGCTTTTTTAATCTCTATGTACTTATATGCTTATTAAAAAAAATTGGCACAAATGATGAATATGACTCTTCTATTTAATAATTTGATCACCATATAATTTTATGAAAAAAAGATATATAGAATTTTCATGAAATAATTCTCGAATTGATATATGATATATCAATTTATTTATTTATTTTTGAAGTTACAAATACAAATATATATATATATATAATTCAATATTAAATTCATATAAGAAAGAAAAAGGTTGTACGCGCTCGCTCATCTAATGTACTAAAATTATTATCTCACAAATAAGGGAGGAAAATCTTCAGCTTTCAAAAGCCCAGTGTTCCGCAATTTGGCATAATAATTGATGCAAATTGAAGAGTTGAGCATTAGCCAGCTGTTAAAATTCGTGACTTAAGAGACGCTAATCTTGACCTGCTTAATTGATTGCCATGGAAAATTTTCTTTCCCTAATAATGGTTAATGGAGCTAATTATTACAAGTTAGGTTCATTGCTTAGCAGAAACTACTATTTTTGTAAAAAAATGAGAGATAATTTCTTTAAGCGGGTGGTTATTTTTTAAATTAAATTTTAATTGGGTAGTTATTCTTTAAATTAAAAAGATATATTTATCCTTATTTTTTATACATTTTTATAATAGTTTCTTTTTTTTAATTACTTTTACTAACCCGACACCTATTCAATCAGAACTTTTATATAGCATTTTAAAATAATAATAAAAAAAAATCGAATGAACTTTTAGGGTTGCAGGTAAGTAAATCTTTTGAAAATACAACTTCTATTTTTTTAACCCGCAGTGGGTGTACCTAATTCTATATTTGCTGTATGCATCCATTTCCTTGACCGTTATCGGGGCAGCCAAACAGGGCTGGAAGCACGTTGCCCAAAACCGTACATAGGCCCAAGACGAAGAAGTCGGTAATAAAAGACTGCCCAAGCCCCAAAGCATTGCAATTTATAGTAGCAACTCAAACTCCAAGTCCCCAACAGCACTATCAGTCGTTCACGTCATTCTCGTGCACTTTGCCTTAAAAACCTTCAAATCTATCTTCCCATGTCCTTTTCTTTGTGTCTTTTTTTAAATTGCTTTAACTGAAAAAGTAGTATCAATGTAAGATTTTGACATTACAATGTTTTTCTCTTAGTTTGTCTGTCTATGGTTTCTTTCCTTGAAGTTGTACTTCTTGTCCTGATGTATCAAAAGATTAACTTAGCTGGTGCAGGTCTGCCTGCAGGTTTTTAAGTTATAAATCACACTTAAATGGACTCCCTTTAGTAGGAAAAAAACAAAATGAATAAATTTTATCAGAATTATGGAACTTAAACAATAGGGTTTAGATAATACACCGGAAAGCATTTCATCCAAAGTACGTAGTGGCTGAGTATACACTTTTACAGCTTCAATTTGCAAAGAATTTCTGAGTTGCAGAAGTTCTTGTTTGGCTGGGCTTTTCATCAGTGATCAGACCACTCAGGGCATGGGATTGAAAGGAGGAGGGTTTAGACTTTAGAGAGAGCAAGGGCTGCCTTACATATCAAAACAAATTCAATAGCTTAATCAGATTGCTGAGTCATCATCTGAAAGTATTTTAGTTACTACTTACTACTACTACTATATGATCTTATTTTTAGTACATATATTTTTTTCCTTTTTGTAATTAGTTTATTTATTTATTTATTTTTATCATTTTAGAATAGGCATGGGATAAACATTGGTGGCGTGGTTCTTGTTTGAATGGTGTCTCTCATCATCTCTTACACGGTTCATGAAATCATTTTCTTTTGTTGGTGTTATTTGGCACAATGTTCTTTAAATTTGTAGTAATAATTCCTGTTTCCGCCTTCAGGTATGTAGCCAAGTTAGTATTCCAATTTCTTGATTCAACATTTTTTAGTAGTGAACAAAACTTTGATACTTGTCAGCTTTTTCACGTGAGTTTTACAGGTTAAGGATATTGCTTCATGAGTGGATCGTGTGACCCATGGTGTGGAAATAGTTTTTATGGTTTCTTTGCATAGCCTCTAAATATGAATTTTACGATGTACTTCATCAGATAACATCTCGGTTTTCTAACTATCTATATATTGCTATAATTAATATATCATTCTCATTTCAAGATGGTTATGATCTGTTTGATGTTGAATGTTGAATGTTAAGTTATCACCTGAGGGCTGTGGCATGAAAGTGAACTTTATATTGTACACTCTTCCTTTTTCATCATTCAGAATTGAAGCATTATGTAAAAGGAAATGGATGCATATCCCCTTCCCCCTTATGGCCCCATTTTGCAAGTCAAGGTTTGCATTCAAAGTTGCCGTTAGGCCGCCACATTTTCACTGCACACCCACAAAATGGCCACCATGGCCGCAAAAAGTTACATGCTTAGCATAAAATGGCCTTTTTTGTTTTTTTTGTTTTTTTTTCAGTTTTTGTCTTTTCTCTTGCAATGTATGCTGATCAGAGCTTTGTTATTTAGGTAAGCTATTGGCAGATTATTCTTCTGCGTCTAGATGTCAAATGCAAATTGACTAGTCAGAAGGTAATTTTCTGGTCTTAGCTATAATTGATTGCCAAGAAGCTCTGAATCTGTTAATAAATATCATGTAGAAACGATATCTATATATATTTGCATAAGCAAGCATCTTAATTGCTTCAATCAACTTAAACCATAACATTACAGGGTGACCTTGGCTTGAAGTAGATCCAGGACATTTACTTCGCTGCTGATATCCAGCATTTTGTTGTCTCTGTAAAGTGTTCATTTTAAATTTAGTTGATAATCATATCCATAGAGAATAATATATATTCTGTTAACATTGTATGAAAGCTATTCAAGTCAACCAAGTAAATCAATAATGGATCGTTTCTGCATGATTGACATCATCTTCTCATCATTTTACATTTTTTTGGATATAGAGGTGTAAAAAATGAATGCCAAACCTTGTCCTGCATTTTTCGGCTATATAAACTACTTTTTTTTTTTAATTACTAACTATAGATCAAATGTTTTATTGATTTTGGCAAACTCGTAGCATGTAATTATGAAGAGATAAGGCTTGCTTTCGTCAGGCACCATTTGATAATGGATGCTTTCATAGATAGAAGGCTCAAACTAGGTGCATTTTCTTGTGTTTGTGTAGATAGAACAGAAAGAGCAATCCAGTTGAAAAATAAGTAGAGATATAAATTTAACATCCATGAGGAAGGAGAGCCAAAAAATAAGTGTTTGTTCTCTGTATTTAACGTTTCGAAACTGGTCATGTCATCAAGAAATTCATCAGAACAATGATAGAAAAGAAGGGAAATAGGAAACTAATACCGGTGCTCAGTGATCTGCCTGCTGAAACGACCTTATCTTCTGCAAAAACATCATTAAAATAATCAATCATCATAAGATTGCAATAAGAACATAGACCAAATGCAAACTTGAAAAGATCAGGCCATAGGGGTACTTACTGCACTCTTTTGCATGGCAAATGCACTTCAACCCAACACCACAATTTCCGTTAGGCTTTTTACATTCATTACAGATATCTGGTACGTGGTCTGGAATGTCGAAAGAAATCCTTGTTCCCAGCTCAACTCCTTCATAGTCTTCCTTATTTAAAGATCTTCTATATACCCTCCTGTAATCTGAACAACTCAAATCTTTTGGATGAAAATCAGTGCGAAGCTTTTCAATATCATGAACAAGCAGACATGAATAGGGCACTTTAATTTCCTGTTCCTGAACTTTAGAAGCAGCTCCACACGTGTGTAAGCGAGTGCAGTTACGGATCAATGATGATGTGGGTTGCCTTTTGTGTGAGCAGTTGAAGAGAAGAAGTAAGTTGGGCTGAGGAGGAGAAGGGAAACCAGCAGAGAGGAGTGCAGGGGATACATACTGATCTGAAGCAGAACAAGAAGTGTGAGAGATTGTTAGTGTTTTACTTGTATAATCAATAGAAGAGATGGGAAAAAGACCAAGAGAGGTTCTAAAATATATCTTCTGAGATTTGCATTTAATCATGCGGTTTAATGGGAAGGGGTTGGTGGAATTTTGACTCAGGAAAGGTGTTTGAAGCTGAATATTACCACATCGATTTTTGGGAGTGTGTTGGGCTATGGAGGTGGTAAAGAATTGCATAAGGGACAGGAGAAAATGTAGAAAGTTGAGTTTCTTGAATGTTTGCATTCTCTTCCCTTTGTTTTCCTTTTGCTTGTTTGGCCCTTCAAAATTCAGATGATATGAACAAAATTGCTGGGATGGTGCGTTGATGATCAGAGGAGATAACAAGGTATAAAACAAAGAATCTGCTTTAAATCTGTTAAGGGTATGTTACTTTTTCCCCTGCCTTTTTTATTGTTGGAGGCATCTTTGAAATCATATTGGAAGAAATGTTCTTATCTTTCATCTGGTATTTTTATTTACTTCTGAAATTTAGCAAGCCCACATGGACTACTATTTTTCCCGTGGAATATTGCTTTCCATTATTCTGCTTGTTTCTCCACTTCATTAATACTCATAATTCTGATATCACGCTGATGGGTATTTGCCCTACATGCTTATTGCTTAGTCACTTTCTTCATGTATGTTTACAGACTATCATGTTCATGGCCCTTTAGTGCTAAGTTCATGTATTTTTTTTTTCATAATTGATGAAAATTGTCAAGATATTTTTGAAATTCTTGGTGCCATTGTGGATTTATTATGGCAGACAGAATTGTTAAGATGGGACCAGCATGATTGAGGCTAATTAACCTAGCGATTACATTAGATTAGGAGAAACAACAAAGTCAAAAAAGTAGTTTTTATCCTCTTTCAGGATTTTCTGGTGCATATAGAGTAGCAGTAAGGCTCAAAAAAGAGTGCAGTGAAAAGGATTTAATGGTTCCTGAGTTCAGCAATCAGCTACCTGTCCATTCACCAGCAAGCTAAATGTCTGTGACGCATATCAATAATACAAATTGAGATGTTTGAAAATTGACAGCAATCACAAGCCATAACACATAGGGAGACACATGCAGATACATACATACAAGAGAGGTAGGCATAACAAATAGTCAAATACTAATTTTCTGGTAGCTTTATTATTATTATTGTTGTTGTTGTTGTTGAAAAATTTTAAGGATCATGCCGGAGCCTTTGCAAGAACAGATGGAAAATCAAGCAGCACAATCTTCTCAATGGCTGTAGAAAAGGTAGCAGAGAATTCAAGGTGACTGGGATGGCTGACAAACGCAGTGTAGTCTTCTTTGTTGTCGAATGTCATCAGGAAGGCATGGGTGAATCCTTGTCTAAGCATCTCTTGACCTTCTATGTCTTGACCCCTGCTAGAACAAATTCAGTTCATGAAAATAAATGTTCCTATGGATGATGTATATTGATGGTGCTAAAGAGAATGATTCAGTTCTGGCTAAGTAAATGCTATAAACATCCTAACCAAATTTTAAAGGAGAAAAATACTTTAAAAAGATTAAAGTATGTAAGCTCTTCTTGTATGGTGTGACACCTATGACACTGTGAACTTTGCAGGCTAACCTTTTGTCAAACCTAAGACGAAGAGTTCATAAGATTTGGTTTAAGAGGCATAAAATCCAAGTTTTTTTAGCTGTTGCCCACTTCCTTTAGCCTCTTGCTTTTTGTTCATAAGACGTGCAAATTTTTCAAAAAAAGATGTCTATTCTATGACTGTCCTTGAACATTGTTTCTTCAATTTTTAAGTTTTAAATGATGCATGCAGCTGATCATATAAATTACTTGACGATCATAAGCAAAATTAACGAAGATAAAAAGCTCACCATTCAAAGGACTTAACAGCATCAACCTCAGAAACCAACTTTTCCATTCCTTTCAAGATCTCTTCCACCACCACATCTTCCTTAAACTTAACAATAACAAGATGCTTGAACCCTGCCATTATTTTTCTCCCCTCTGCAAACACTACCCCTTTTTTGAAATTTGAGGTTTCAACTTTGAACCTCACTCCAAAAACCACACAAATTTATACACGCACCCAAATTATTTGCGTGTCAACTTCCACAGTCCCATCTGTCCACTGTGACAAACACCACGACCCAATTTCACCGTTTGTATTACCAACCATGACCAAAGGAGCAGTCTTTAGTCTCCCCTTTGTTGGACAGGATCTGCACCTCAATATATGGAAAGGTACAGACTTGCATGGGGGTGAGACCCACCAGTCAGCTATTTCTTTGCTCTCCAGCACAGTAAAATTGTCCTCAGCCATTGTCGTATACCTTTTGCTTTTGCACATGAAATGGGGTCATGTAGTTCCATTTTTCTTGAAATTTGAGATCTTATGCTAACTGATTTTCTCGACACCACTGTCGTCATGCCTTAGCCCACATCCTTCTGATCATCATACTCTACTCCACATCTTTCTGATCATCATACCTTATCTTACACTCTTCTTATCACCCATCCTGTTAACAGCCACTTCTCTCACTGTCAAATAAGACAAAAACAAATAAATGCAGCATGGGGCTCGTGCTTGCACCCCATACCGAGCCTTATGCCATTCACTGCCGGAGCTCTATAAATAGAGCTCCTGGCCGATCAAAAAATAGAGGGAAAAAAATCTGCAAAAAAAAAAAGGAAGAGATTCTGCAAAAAAAATCCAAAAAAAAAAATCAACAATCCTCCCCATAGGGAGTAACCCAACGCCGAGAGCCCTTGTACAAAGAAGAAAAAAAAAGTCAGTTTAAAAAAAAAAGTCTTAATACAAAAAAAAAATTTCACCGAAATTGTGAAAGCAGATCTAGGGAAGTGAGGATTCTTTTTGGCGAAAAAAAAGTTGGATCTGTGATTAGGGTGTTGAATAAAACATTTTAGGTGATTTTGATTTTTCGGTCATCGGCGACGGCAACGGTGATAGTGACCGGCTGGCACCTGCGTTTGGTTGAAGAAAAAAAAAAGAAAGGGTTTTTTTTCTGAAGAGGAAATGAAATAATCGAAAAAAATTTTGGGCTTTTATATAAGCTGTCAATAGCCAAAACGACATCGTTTCAATAAACGCCCAAAACGATATCATTTTAAGTACTCAGGATTCGCGCGTCAATCCGCGACCCGATTCGGGGTCCGTGCACCCGACCCACGACCCGCTTCCTATATCAGCATATGACCGGTCCGACTGAACTGAAATCGAACCGCTGAACTCGACCCGGACCGAAACTGAACCATTGAACCTGACTGAACCGTTGATGCTAGACCGAATAGTCGGACTGAACCGCTCGTCGAACGATCCGGTTCAAGTAAAAAAAAAATTTTTTTGAATTTTTTTTATTTTTAATATATTATTTTATTAATATTTATGTATATTAAAATATTTATATTTGTTAGATTAAATGATGAAATATATGGTTAAATTTTTTTTATAATTTTGTTAATATTTAAAATAAATTTTTTAAAAAATAATATAAAAATAAATTTAATAATAATACTAAACTAATAAAAAATATAGGAGAAGAAAAGAAATTTTATCCGACGATGAGATTCAAAGATATTTCGAGTAGTGATGCCTATGAAATCTCTAGGTGAGAAGATTTTTTTTAAATACTACTAGTGTATTTGAGTATTTATAAAAAAATTTTCAATACAAGAAAAATTCTTTTTTTATAAAATAGTAATAAATAAAAATTGATTAATAAATTAAATAAGTAATAAAAATGAGAAGAAAAGAAATTTTATCCAATGATGAGATTCTAAAAGTATTTCGAGTAAAGATGCTTTAAGAAATCCCTAGGTGAGAAGATTTTTTATAAAATATTACTAGTGTATTGGAATATTTATAAAAAATCTTCAATATAATTAAATTCTTTTTTCTTCAAAATTTCAATTAAAAATAAATATTAATAAAATAATAAAATTTTTAACAAAGGAGAATAAAATGTGTGCATCAACATGATAACATTTTGCATTGCATGAATGACATTTTTACGAAAAGTAAATTTAAGCCTCCGAGGATGAGATTCTAAAGTATTCCAAGAAGCGATGTCTAAGAAATCTCTAGATGAAAAAAAGTTATTCTAATGTTACCAACGTACTGAAATATTTTAAGAATTATTTCAATAAAAAGGTTTTAATTTATTTTTCTCGAGAATAAAATTTTTTTTCTAATAAATAAAAAATCAAGGAAATTATTTTTCGAACACCAAAAAATAGACTATGTTTGTCAAAATCAAAAGATAACACGTTGTTAATTGGTACCGTTTTTAACAGGCGCTGTGGGGGTGCTAATCATTCCCCACGCATAATCAACTCCCGAACCCAGACTGTTTTGCAGATCATAGAATTATATTTTTAATAAGTTTTAATCAATTTTAAAACTTTATTAAAATGATATGTTTTAGTATGTGGCTAATCGCACCTAGCCAAAAAAGATTTGTGACTACTCCGTTATTTTTTATTTCGTTTTCAAATTCGTCGAGCGGACAAAAAATCATTACGACAGCTTGACGACTCCGCTGGGGAGTGCCTTTTATTTTCGAGAGTCAGACCAAAATTAACTACTTGTTATCCTCAAATTTTTATTTAAACAGTCTTAATCAATTTCTTAGATTTTTATTTTTCATTTTCAATAAAAAAGGTAAAGAAAAAATAAAAAATAAAAAGCAAAAAAATTCACACACATTTCTTTTACTATGCCTCTTATGTTTTATTTTTTGTATATATTACTCTCAATAAATTATGATATACTTGCACACAATGATATGATGTATCTCATGCATGAGCTCTATACACGGGCTCTGTCCTTTATAAAAAGAAGTAGAGTACCTATGCTCTCGTGAGTTGATAACCTTCGTAATGATAAGTGAAATACTTTCACTCAAATTGAACCCTTTCCCTTCATAGCCTGTAATGGGTGAGATCGAGGTGTCTTACTAGTCTAACATGGACGACAGTGAGGAACAATTTGAAAACTTTTAAACACTGTCAATCTAAATCCAACATATAATAAGCTCAGGAAATCAGCCTTATGTAGAGCCTTGTCCACCTTTTTGTAAGAAATACCTAAGAATAAAAGTTATGCGTAATACAAAACAAAACAAAATAAAAAATCTCAAAATACAAAAAAAAAAAAACACTAAAAAACAAAAAATATTTTTTTCTTAAACCACATCCTCACACCAACTCAATTTTGTTTCATTTTTTTTTTTTGCATTAATCATATCATACAGTTCTGCATCAAGATATTTGCTCTATGACATATTTTTTTCAAGAAGTTTTCATGGATCTCATAAAACTACAAATTTACTCATTCTCAGTCAGTGTGCTATGTGAGCCATATAATGAAGTACATGTTTGGTTGAAAAAAGCTCAACAAAAGAATGAAGATTGTTTGCCAATCGATTATGTATCTGAATTACCAGAGAAAGTGCATTTAGATCTCACACAGAATGATTTAAAAGAGTTAGCTGCTGTTTAGGGTCAGTTAAGTGAAAAAAAAAAGAAAGTTTTTCTAAAAAGTATGGGCAGATTGCATCTCTCATTTTAGTAGTGATCGATGAATAGTTGGTCAAGACAGCTATGCAGTTTTGAGATTCATCTTATAGATGCTTCACTTTTAATCAGAAAGATTTGGTGTCAACTATCGAGGAGTATTCGATTTTGCTCGGGATAGAACTATAATGTCCAGATAAAATATTTACCCGAAAGCCAAAATCAGGTTATCGTAAAAAGTTAGTCAGGCTTATGAAGGTTAAAGCAGAAACCATTGATTCTTTGTGAAGCTTAAAGGTGAACGTCTCGACGTCCGTTGAGATTTTCTCTGAAACTTCATTTAGGAGCATTTAAATGATGATCAAGGTATAGCTGTGTTTGCTCTAGCATTGTATAGCATGGTAATCTTTTCAAAAATTTTAGGTTACATTTAGATAACTGTAGTAGATTTTTTTGAGCAAATTGAAACCCAAGCAATTAATTTCACTCCAACAGTCCTAGCTGAAACCATCTGGTCATTAAATTTCTGTCGACGAAATAGAAAAAGATAGTTCATAAGATGTGCACCACTATTTTATGTATGGGTCAGAAGTTATTTCAAGTGTAGGAAAAGTGCATTCTCAAAATCGTATCTTCGAAATAAGGTACCAATTGAAGAGTTTTGCAAAAGTCAATGGTCGACGTTGAAGACTAATAAAGAGTGGGTCTTTCTAGCGAAGGTTTACCGGGGATAAAATTGAATGGATGGCGCCTTAGATGCCTCGAGTGCCTTTGTTGTATTGTGGAGAAAATGAGCCGTGGATACCATTGTTAGGATTATAGGGTATTGTAAGTTACGCTCCATTAATGGTGCTTAGGCAATTTGGTGCAAAGTAGTTTGTTCCTACCATTCATGGTTTGGCCTAAATAGAATTCATTTATGGGGAATCGAATCCATCAAGAACCTCAGAGCAGCTGATCCAAGCATGATAGAGAACATGAAGAATGAGATTGGGGCCTCTCATCGATAAAGTCACTTCTGATTATCAGATTTGGAAAGCAAGATGGCCTAAAGACATAGTACTCCTTCTTGATAACAGCTCATATCAATTGATTAATCTTTCAGAAGAGGTGCAATTATTAGAAGTCAAGCTTGTCAAGAAAGAATTAGAAGTTGAAAAAGAAGAAATAAGAAGAAAAAATTTGAGACTTCGTGAAAAAGTAGGGTAATTGAAATATGAAGCAAAAATACAAAAGAGTAGATTGACTAAAATCATAAAAGAACAGGATGTGGTTAATAGTGATTTGAAAGATCTATACTAGAAAAATGAGAGGTTACGAGTCCAATTCAAAATAAAAAAAGTCACCAAGTCTTACCTTAGTCGACAACGCGAAATGGATGAGCTTTGAGAGAAAATGAACCAATGAAAGGGCAAAGTTTAAGAAAAGCAAGAAGAGACCACCAAAATTTTTCAAGAATGTCAGAATTGAAAGGGATTATACTTTATAGCCTCAGTAGGATTAGTGGAATGTCAAAACGAAAAGGA